AGGGTCTGTAGAAGAGCTGCATATTGGACTTCTCTGCTCTGTTGGTACTGGCTCATTTGTAACCACTGTGGGACCTAGAGGGCCTTGGAGTGAATTCTAACAGAGGGTCAGGATGAGTGTCCAGATACTATTATTAAGAACCTCAAGAAAAAGTTTTGCAATAAAGACATCCAGACCTGTCCCCCTTCTGCAGTTAACTGGACCAAGCCTTAGTCCAGTTAATTGGACCAAGCTGCATTTGTGGGCAGTTACTCCAACTTGTGAAGGCTTCAGGCAACTGGAAATAACTTATGAATTATAGCACCTTCTTTCTTTCCTGCTGTTGAGTTTTTTCAGTCACAGTGTAAATAGTACCATTTTTTTATTTAACAAAAATGTTATTACGTCAAACTCATAACAATACAGGTGTTGTGGGTTGATTGTGTCCCCACCCCCCAAAAAAGATGTGTTGAAGTCTTAACACCTTGTACCTCAGAATACCACCTCATTTGAAAGTAGGGTCTTTACAGAGGTAATCAAGTAAAAACAAGGTCATTAGGATGGGCCCTAATTCAATGTGACTGGTGTCCTTATGAAAAATGGATATTTGTACACAGAGAAAGACCTGCAAAGGGGAAGACTAGTGAAGATACATATGGAGAAGATGACCACGTAACTGTAGTGACCTATGTACAAGTCAAGAAATACCAAGGATTGCTAGAGAACACCATCAGCTAGAAGACATAAGGAAAGATTCTGCCCTAGAGCCATCAGAGAGAAGGTGGCCCTGTGGACCCCTTGATTTGGGATTTTTAGCCTCTAAGATGGTGATACCGTAGATTTCCATTGTTTTAAGCCATTTCATTTTTGGTACTTTGTTACAGCAGCCCTGGAAAACTTATACAATAGGTAGGGTTAAAAATGAATCCAGATGACATTCTCCAAAATGTACCGAAAGGGAAAAAAAAACAACTGGGAGAGGAAATTCTAAAACCGAATAGCTCTTTTGAAAGATTCTTTTTATAAATAAATGTAAGTACACATTTTCTTAAAATAAAAAGCTGAAGACCTCATTGCTTAAAGATGTCATATTTTCCAGCATGCAATGAATGGAACCTAACTTAGAGCTGTTTGTGGAAATGTGCTTTCCCCTTGAAATCATTAAAACATACATTGTTGCTCTTTATGTTAGTTTTATGATGCATGTCGGAATTCCAAATTAAATATTGTTTAGATGCTTATGCACTGAGATTTTTTGTTTCTCAAGAAGACATAAGACTAAGTGGAAGAATATATTTTATACCAAAGCAGTGAATCCTTACTTATGGCCAAAATGTACTTTACGGTGGAATTTTATTATGATATCAAAATATTTTGATAGGCAAGAGACTGTGAATGCAGAGAGACATCTGTCTTCTAGAAACCCTACTAGCAAGCACATTTGCCGTGATGTTAGACACTACCTTTTTAAACATGCTCATCTCTTTTGTTTCGTTCTATGCTTCTGTGCCAGTGGACCTGGCAGCGCTAAATGTAAGGGACCCGGGAACCTTTTCATATTCCCCCTCCCGATAGCCCCAGATGAAAGTGCACAGGCTAACTTGGAGGAGCTCTTTCATCAGCTCCTGAAGTTTCTACAAAAGCGTGTGGCTGACCAGGAAACTGGGTCAGGCAATTGTTCTGCAATAAAGATGATCTTTTGAAGTGTCTCAGCAGCCGCCTGCCTTGAGCAGGAGTCCTGTGGATCATGCTCCTCACAAATTGAGCCTCGGGCCTCAGATATTCCTCTTGCTTTAATAAAAATAATAATAATAAAAAAACACTTTGCCCTTTTTTTCCCACCTGCCTTCAGGCTTTCTGATTGATGAACCTATTCACTTAAACAGAGTGTTAAAAATTGCTTTAAAATATACAACCACTGCCTGAAATATATTTGTAAAGGAAAGCTATCTCTTGAAATTCTGAAGCTAGTTCATAAAAAACATGGCCTTGTTGCCATAGGACACCCACCACTGATTTGGACAGAATCTCTAAGAGATGGTTTGATTGAGTTTTGAACAGGATTTGATCTTTCAAATCAGGGGTATTTTCCTGGTCTTGGGATTCCTAACCCCCCACCCTCAGCCCCCAACAGAGGCATTTTCTCTCTTAATTCCCCAGTCAAGAAAGAATTAAGTTGTGGTTTTCTTGTGATATAAACTGACAAGATTAACATATTCAAAGTGGAATATGTATAACTCATCAGATCACATACCCTTTAACAGGGGCATGAATTATGAATGAATGAAAGAAGCTGTCATCAGCTATGTTACCTCGATATTAATAGCATGAACAGTCAATGTTGGATGTATCTGGGGCACATTTGCCATTAAACCCCTCCCTCTTGTCTTTCAAGAATGAGATAGAGACAAAAGACAGAGAGAGGGGAGCAGGGTGAGAGAGTGGCCTGGAGAGTTTGAGAGATAAAACTATTTATGGGGATAGCTTTTAACATCCAGTGTAATTCAAATAACTCGATTGTTAGAGTCCCCAGCTAATGCAGGTTCACTCAGATCATTCAACCTGAGCCAAGAGACATCATCACTAGATTAACCGTTGTTGTCTACAAGGGCCAGCAGCCTAAGGCCTATTGCCTCTTTTTGTTTGGCCTGAGAGCAAAAATGGTTTCTACATTTTTAAATAGTTGACAAAAAAACAAAGAAGAATATTATTTTGTGACATAAAAATTATATAAAATTTAAAATTCAGTGTCCATAAGTAAATTTTTATCAGAACACAGCCATGACTGTTTCTTTATTTAATATCTATGGATGTTTCTCATTATAGTAGCAGAGTTGAATAATTGTGACAGAGGCAGGATGGCCTATAAAGCCTAAAATATTTAATATTTGTCTCCCTTTGCAGAAAAAAAGCTCACTGACTTCCTGTGTATTCAAATACATGCACTCATATATTTGCACATATGTGTGTACACATAAATATAAATCTTTAGCTACCTATTAATCTACCTATCTATTAATCTATCTGCCTACCTACGTATTCATCTACCTATCTAAAAATTTTTTTTCCATACAAAAGCAAACCTTTCCTGGCAGAGTTTCTTTCTCCTAATCAAAGTAATATAGGCCCTGAAACATAGTAAGTGCACACACATCTCTTTCCTCTCATTCCACTTTCATAGTTAAAAACAGCACTGGTCAGATACACAAGGAGATGTTTTATTCTACTGTGCACTTACCTTGATAAAATTCAAAGTGCTTGCTATGTACTCTGGCAGGCAGGGCAGTAAATTCACCCAGTCTGGACCAGAGGTATTTGGCCTCCCTACAATATCAACTTCAAAGGTGATAGAAAAATGTTAGTAGTAAATATACTAAAGCCTTAACTGCCCATCTCGGGTGGCAGAATTCATTTCCTGTCACCTGTTGTTAAAAAGGGACTTAAATTCAGGCTTTCAGCTGGGAATTATTTAAGCTGTGTTTTAAATGGATGTTCAAGGAAGAGCTTAAAGATCATTACTTTGAGTGGGAGCATTTTGATCCTAGAATTGAAGACCCTTTCATTTAATTTTTATAAAGTGACTAATAGGAACTTGCAGGTAGCCAACTCAATTCAATTTGGCAAATGTGTCTCAGGTGGTGTGATGTGATAAAGAATATGACTGGTCTTTGTTCCTGGTTCCTGGCACAGAACTTCAAAACCTCTTGGAATTTTCATGATAGGAGTGTCCTTTGTTATTCATAACAAACCCTTTTCCACCATATCTGAGTTTATGTTAGCAAGGTGACTCCTAGTGGGCCCCTTGATGTTTCAAGGGAGGGGCTGGCCATGCCAGGAAGACCAAGCACATTACTGGAGGGTTGAAAATTTGCCCTCTCCAACCCCTCAAGCTCCAAGGGTACTGAGAGGGGAACTGGAGATTGAATTCAAATATGTGGCCAGTGATTCAGTCATGCCAACCTAGTGAAACTTCAGTAAAAACTCTGAGCAATGAGCCCAGCTGGCGTGGCTCAGCAGTTAAGCATTGACCTAGGATCCAGGAGATGGTGGTTCGATTCCTGGTCAGGGCACGAGCCTGGGTTTTGGGCTCAGTCCCCAGCAGGTGGCATGCAGGAGGCAGCCAATCAATGACTCTCTCATCATTGATGCTTCTATCTCTCTCTCCCTCTCCCTTCCTCTCTCTGAAATCAATAAAGATATATTTTTAAAAATAATAATAATAAAATAAATAAAAATAAATTAAAAAAACCTCTAAGCAATGAGACACAGAGAGCTTCTAGGTTGAATATATTGTGTAATTTGCTGGGAGGGTGGCATAACCTGAGTCTACAGGGCTGGAAGCTCTGCACTCCTCTTCCCCAAACCTTGCCCTGTTTATCTCTTGCATTTGGCTGTTCTTAAGCTGTGACCTTTATAATAGAATGTTAATTGTAAGTATAGTGCTTTCAGTGAGTATGGTAAGTCATTCCTGTAAATTATCAAACCTGAAGGGTATTGTGAGAACACTGGAATTGGTATCCAGCTGGGCAGATGTATAGGTAGGTAGCTTGGGGACACCAGAGACTTGTGGCTAACATCTGATGTGGGGGCAATCTGCTGGATCAGAGCCCCTGAACTGTGGGACTGTGCTAACTCTGGGTGGAAAATGTAAAGACGGACATCTGGTTGGTGTCACAGAATTGTTGCTGAACTGCAGATAGTGACCGTGGGCCAGGTTCAATGCTAGGTGCTGAGGATAGGAAAATGGGTAAGACAGTTCTCATTCTCAGTGCTCACGGCCTAGTTATGTGAATTTTTCACATTTTCAAAATAGGAACTTAGCATAAGAGGGTGAATTTTCTCTCTTCAGAAGGGAGTGAAAGGAGTAAAATATATGGGGGAACAAAAGCTCTTGATTTTAGTGTTCATGGATAAACACTTTGTGACCTGTGAGGCTGGGGCTCTACTCCTATGGCCATCCTGTAGTTTTCTTTGTGCTAATTCTCATGTTATTGATTTTGTTTTCTTGGAATATTTTTCAGGTGTGTGTTCTTGGGGTAGTCTTCTCTGTGGGATTTGTAGTAGGTGAAATTATTTGACGCTAAGAAGAGAAAAGTTTTTTCCAAAGTGAGTGGACCCAGGAGCCCTCACTGGGCTGCTATTCACGGAGGCTCAGTGAGCATCTGAAAATCATTTGTGAAGTGCAGTGCCCTTCATAATGAGAGGTAAGCCTTTGGGCGAAAAAGCAAACCGAGTGGGGTGGGTTTATAACCTTGAGTAAAGAGTGGACATCCAAGATGCACGGACTGGACTCTATCTAGATAAAGGCAACATTATCAATTCAGCTTCTAGTGTAGCATAGGTAGGGTTGCAGGGAGAAATAAAGGGAGCCAGGGAGGGGGAAGATGTTGGCTAGAGAACAAAAATGACCACAGCAACAACAAAGCTGCCAGGAAAGGCTGCCAAGGGGATTGTATCAGTACTATTCTAGCTGTTTTAAGCACTAAATAATTTAATACCAGGACTTAGGTACTTAAGCAATTGTGGTTGGGCTGGAGAAAGTGGGCTCCAGACTAGGCTTCTCAGAAAGGGCTTTCAACACCATGTTACAGAAATATCATACCCAGGTAGCAGCTGCCTCAGCCATTATAAGAGAACCAAGGACTTGTCCTGGCCAGTGTGGCTCAGTTGGCTGAGTGTTGTCCTGTCCCATGCGCCAAGAGGTCACCTGTTTGATTACCCCTCAGGGAATATGCTTGGGTTGTGGGCTTGATCCCTAATATGGGGTGTGCAGAATGCAACCAATCGGTGGCTTTCATCGATGTTTTTCTCTCTCCTTTTCCCTTTCTCTCTCTCTAAAAATCAATAAAAACAAATATATTTTTAAAAAAGAGACAGCTAAGACTTAGAACAACAATAATCCCAGTGATGGCTCTAGGACCACAGACCCCACCTTTAGTCGATGACTGAGGAAGGCCACCTGTGCCTGAGAGAGCTTTAGTCTAGCAGGCAAAATGGACCCTGCACAAGCCACTCCCTTTCTCTGCACCCTCTCCCCACTTACTTCAGTGCAAGTGATTAGAGAACCTAAGTCACATCTGCAACTGAGCTGTAAGAGCATTTGGGATGTGTAATTCATGACTTTATAACTTCTGAGTATAGATGGAAATTAGAGCAGATATTGAACAAATGAACCAATCAACTAGTTTCCGTGGGATTGTGAAGGGGACTTCTTAGTCCTGCCATTATGTGCCTGTTTTTGAGAAACTTGGTCATTTTTATGTTCCATGTAGTTTTGGACAGCTACTGTGACAGTGTGCAGAGAATGAGATTTCAGTCTACACCTGAGGTAGGGTTTATAAGAGCAAGGGATTTTATTTTTTGGGGTTGGGGCTACATATTGGTTGATGGCAGCGGAAACTATTTCCGCTGGATGGAAATTGTTGGAGCAGGGAAGAGGGGGAAAGAATTGAGGAATAGGTTTATAATGATCTCTTTCCATCTAAAGACTCTAATTCTAAAGCTATTCTTTGCTTTTATATCAGATGGATTTATATTGTTTAGAAGTAAAAGGCCACTTTCTCGTATTTACCTGTTATGAATGTGACCTATGCTTAGTGCACCACATCAAACTTCTAGCAGGTAAACATTTCTTTGAAGAATTTTAAAGAACCCTGGACATGTTTAACACAATAATTAGGTAATTGGTATATTTAAGCATGAACATCTTGTTCATTCATCAATCATAGTCATGATCTTTAATTTTCACTCATTGAACATTTATGAAGCACCTGTGTACTAAGCACACAGGAAAACAGAGAAAAAAATCAGTTACTGAACTCAAACTGTTCACAGTTTAGTGAGAAATATGACAATATGCCAAAACTGGGTAGTGTTACCGATCAGTGATTATTAGTTAACATTTATGGAAAACTTACAATGAATCAGTGCTGTGCAAAGTCCTTACTTATGTGTTATCATGGGATCTTTCAATAATCTTTGAGTATGGTACTACAGATGTCTATTTTGTAGATGAGGAAACTGAGGCACAGAGAGGTCAATAACTTACTCTAAGTCGACTTGATTATCAGGTGGATAATCAAGCATTCAAACCCTGCTGTAAGACTGCAGAACTGAGCTCTTGACCACAGACTGGGCTGCAGGCACTGGTGAGGACACTGGCCTATACTTTTCACTCAGTCTAAGGAAGACAATTAAGAGAATTGACTCAAAGCAAGGGGATACAAATTGACATTTTAGGTTGAGTTGAATAAAATTGGTCAGGTAAACAAGGGGGAGTCATTTTGGGGGCAAAAGGATCAATACAGTTGCAGGCCCACAAAGGTGAGAGGGTAAGACATGTTTTGGAACTTGCCAAGTAATTTTGCATGGTACAGAATGGGGGGTTGTATAAAAGATTGGTGAGAGGAAGGCTTGGTGGGTCTTGGAAAGGAATTTTAACTAAAATAGAAGACATGGACGGATTTTAAACATGAGAAATAAGATTCTCTAGAAAGAACTCTCTGGTAGTACCTTACATGTAGGGCACTGATCTTAGAGCAAGAACTCCCAAAACAAAAGTATAATCATTACCTGCTACACTCTGGCAAGGACTTAATACCTTATAGATTAAATGTTAATACAAAACACCCTGATTTAAAAACTCATTAAAGAACTCAATCTCCCATTGATGGCTTTCTAGCACTAATCAAAAACTGAGATTCAGGGAAATTGGAGAAGGGTAATCTAACAAGCAGACCTCTCCAGTCTCAGCCTTTACCCACCCTGTGTCCAGTCAAATTGGGCTGACTCTTATGATTTCTCTCTCATGTGTAGAAACTGAGGGTTGTTGATGAGATCTGGGATGGGGCACACTCTACACTTATTCTCACAACCTGTTGTATCCAAGTCGGCTAGTGGGCTAGCCATCTCCTCTACCATCTATAGATTGAAAGACACCCTCTTGCAGGAAATACTGATTCCAGATGGCTGCTAGGGCAGCTTCCTAAATGAACAGTTCGTTCTAGCTCTCCTTGTTTCACTTCTGTAGATAAACCAAATAAAGCACATGAAACTTGAATTTTAAAAAATGGAGGGGGAGGGTCTGCTGAAAGGCAGTGCTATACAGGGGTAACCTCTCGATTCACCAGTACACAATTTCAAGTATTGGCCTCAGCACTTAGTAACTGTGTGACCTTGTGTTAGATACTTAACCTCCCACTAAACCTCAGTTTCTTCATCTTAATGGGGTGAAAACAGCAACTCCTTCACAACATGTGGGAGAGTAAAAGATATGTTGGTAATTTCAAAGAGAAGTGTTCACTTTTTCAAAGAGTTTATACACTGAGGTTCTTGCCCTTTTGAAATTGACCTGTCCTCTGCCTACCTTCCTCTGCATCTCAAGGTGACAAGCTAATCTGATAATATGCTGACGTATGAGCGACCTTCTGTGCCATCTCTTCTTTTTATATGCAGTGAAATAGAAACCTGAATAAATTATGATAATGTCTTAATTCCAAGGAATGCCTCTAAATGTTGGTATCAGGCTTGTAGGCAACCATTTTTGAGCAAATCTTGACTTCACTACTTATATCCAGAGCAGACTTCTAGTCGCAGGTAAAATATCTGGGGCTTGGAAAAGTGGTGAGGTTTTGCTCTTTTTGATCAGCCTACAGAAGTACAATTTCAGAAACCATGCAGATCTATAGATGTAAAGTTCTTCCAGGTATTTTATGAATTCCCGGGAACTCAAACTGATAGAAGTGACTTACGAGGCAGTGATGAGTCACATGTCAGAATTATGATGCTGATGGTGGAAATCAGTCAGTAACTCTCTACTTTATGGGAACTTTATTACTTCAATCAACAATTGTCCTTTTTATTTTCAAGAAACAGAAAGAAATGAACAACAGTAAGATGCTATGGAAAGGGAGTGGATTGCAGATTGCAAAGTAAGTGGAAAACACTTAAATGCACAGTAGATGAGCGTAGGAAGGAATAATACCTCATGGACTTCAGGATGCTAATCTGGGTAAGGTTATTACAGAACATGATCTCATTAGCATGAAATGAAACACCCTCTCTAAAACCCAGGGCATGAGCCTTTTGATAGATTACACTCTGAGATCCTTCAAGGGAAGCCATTGACATCTGCATTGTTACCTGCATAGCAAACTGCATGGGGACTTTGAGACATGTGTAGGTGAGGGGAATGGGGATAAATCATTTCCTGAATTTTTTGAATTAAAAGATATAGAAGGAAAGACTTAGTAGATGACCAAGTCCATAACGCTGGGATTTCATGGTGAAATTTTGCCTGATGACACACATTTGAAGGTTTTGGGGATTTTTTAATGGATTCTTTCTCAGACATATCTGAGTGGACCTAGGCATTTGCATTTTTTAACAAGCTCCTCAGTGAAATGGATTCTTTGGATCACATTCTGAGAAGCAGACTAAGATTTGTGGTGACTTTCCTGATGGTCAGCACTGCTTCCTGTCACATCACTGAACAGTGTGAAAATGTCTCTAAACTCTCCACACTTTTCCCTTTATCAACAGCTATGCCTTTCACAAGTACCTTCTGTTAGGTTGAAATTTGAATTAACTTTCCTCCAGCTTAAAAATTAAACTCAATTGTAATTTGATAATTACTTAAAATGTGTGACTGTAATAGAATGGACGTGAACATAGCTGATGACTTGGGAATAATAGAATTTCAGAGCTTAATTTAGCAAGAAAGGCATCAATGTCACTTTTGACTCCCACATTTGGTTTAACCCACGGTTTCCATGAGTGCTCACATATTATTTCTTACCCATTTTAATGACTTCAGTGCTTTCACTTCTGAGAAGATATCTGAGATGGTCCCAACAAATAAGAAATGGAAGTCTGAAGAATAATTGATTTTTCCAGGTAATCCTCTTCATTGTCTAAAGCTATATGACTCTAGATTTGAATCCCTTGCTTTAAAATGTCCTCAATGGAAGACCATAATTTTGGAAAGCTGGAAGTTGAAAAAGCAAAGAATTTGACAGTTTTCACACTGATTACCTTCAGGGTAAGAATAATGATATGAGCTGAGTAAAAAGAAATGTAATTGCATGGAACT